CAGAACTATCACCTGTGTGACGTATCACGCTAGTTGCCATGGCCCTGCAAGGCTGAGGGGCAAAGGATTCAGATATCACCGGCTTCTGACTGCACTGTCGCTCCATGTTGATAACAGATGGCTTGGTTATGGGAGAGGCGCTGGTGGCTGATGTGACCAAGCAGGCAGCTGTATTTGCCATGACAGTCCTTGGTTTGGAGTAAGTGACTTGCGAGGAGAGGAGCATAGCAGCAGACATCTCAACAAAGTCAGGGCTGTGCGGAGGGGTCATGCACTGCAAAAAAGAAAACACCATTATACAGCTGTGTAACTTCATAGCAGAATTTTTCACTATCTCTACTGTGAAAAACAAAGTTACACCCCCTTCGCAGCATCTCAGAACCTGCCTCTTGGGACAAACTGATTAAAGCACACACCGCCTCATCTGATGGCCATTCTGTATATGCTCAAAAGCATATTAATAAAACAAAGGCAATGAGGCAGAGGTAAACCTGCATAAAACATGGCGTGTCCACTCACTGCGCTGCAAAAACTCTCTCATTCCTTTCCCCTCAGCAATTGGTGTGGCTGTAAGAGGCTATGAGCTCTCCGCTGCTTACAGAAAACAGACTAACAACAAATACCGATACTGCACCGTTTCAATTTCAAGCTTCTAGCAAGCCCTAGATCTTATCAATGAGCACCCCACCAGCTGGTGGCTACTTCTGAGATACATACAAATGGAACTGCTCTCTCCCTTCTTATTCATCCATTTTTCTCTACGCTCTCTTGCTGCCACCACCTCTCCTTCCTCCTTTACCACTGAAATGTCATGCCCATGTCCTGTGCTGCTCAAGAGACAGTGCCAACACCAAGTGGCAGGAGCACGAGTGAAGCCCATCAAGCAGCTGCCATACTACCCCATCCCCTCTCCTCTATTATTCCCCCTTTTCCTGACATAACTGGATACTAGAAGCCTACTGGTTGAAACAGGCCTTAGCCATCTGAAACTTGAATGGCACAAAGCTCTTTTTTAATACCTACTTTTGTTGCAACATAAACTGCAACAACAAAAAAAAAAAGTGATTCAACCAATATTAGTCAGCCAGAGTAGACCAATACACTGCAGAATTAAAAGACTACATGTACAAACACATAACATGGAAACTAGTTGTCTATTTCATAATGGTAACCTGTACTTTCTCTTGTAATAACTAGAGTGAAGCCAAATGTCACCAAGTGCCTTTTTCATATAGTGCTTGCAGATAAGTCGGTGCTGAATCACTGAGGCTCACGCTGCCGTTCTTGCTCCAAGAAACCTCCAATAACCATGTAGACAGCATCCTCAGCTGTTAAGTTAAATAGCCCATCAGCAAGGGCTTTCACATCTAGATTTAACAAGGGATAAAACCCCTACATTTGCCATTCCAGAGACAGCAGAAAAAAACAAACTCAACACACCCACCTCACTATTCTATGTACACACACAGCACTGGCTGTACTGTAGCCATTCTACACAGGGACACATGAGCAAGCTCTCTTTTCCAGCCAAGTTCAAACATTGCAGAGATGAAACACCCAGGTGTCAGGCATATTTATCTTGCATTCATGTTTTTCTTACCAGCGTAGATAAATAGTCCTTTGGTAATTCAGACGTAGCCTCAGCGTGCATTGTGAAATCACCAGAATCCGAGAAGGGCGTAAGTGGCCTTATCTTTAATATGTCACCTTTCTGCGATCTTTGACCCCAGGAGCTCATACAAACAAGCGCTTCAACAGCTTCAATGTCGTTCTGCTCCAAGGTGCTGCAGGTAGACCTTTCGCTGTCATGACGCTGCCTTTCACGGATAGACTCATAGATGTCCACAATGTCAACCTAAATGCAATCGGATTACTGGCTATTAGGACAAGTCAGAATACAAAGCTGAAACCACCCACATACTGTCTGCTTGGGATGAAGGTCATCTGAAACAGATCCCATGCCCGCGGCAAGGATTTTATCAACCAGCTGAACTCTTCCCCTCCCCCACCAGCTCATCTCCCCACCCCTGCTACTCCTTTTAAAAAAAAAAAAAAAAAAAAAGTAGTATGATTTGGAGGAAAGGAACAGGTATGTGTGAAGCTCACGTTTCCAGAGTTACTTTCCTGGATTACACTGCTCTGAGTAAACACATCCCATGCTTGCATACAAGCAAAAAGAGGAAAAAATCTTGACTTCCAACCTTGTTTAGACAAGGCTGTTTCCTGGACCCAAAAGAAAACTGCTATTCAGGACCGATCTCGCTCTGATAACATTTAAAAGATAAATTTCAGCTGACAGTAAGATGCTTTAAGGTACGATCACTGATTCAGAGTACCACACCTTGGAAAAGTATTTTAATCTTATTTTTACCAATAGCGAAGCCAGGGTACAGGGAAGGAAGGAAAATAGCCTTTAAAGTGAAGTAGGAATTGTTTGTACTGTACTTTAGAAAGGTGTGATGCTACATCAGTACTAGGTATCCCAAGACACACTACCAGTAACATGGAGACAAATGTAATCATATTGTTTCCAAATGCAAGCATTACATAAAATTTGTGCATATGCATGCATGCAAAACACTTGACTTCTCTGCGAAAGGATACACAAACTTCATAAAGTGCCCTCAGTGCTTGACAGTGACTCTAAAAGCTACACTGCGGTGCTGGTTTATTGCTCCTGTGCCAGCTTGGTCTCAACTAAGTATTCAAACTGTTCCAGTCTTTAGGCAGACCAACCAACTGTGAAGGGTGGGGTTCAGAAGCATGGACCAAGATTCTTGAGATGAATGCTGTTATGCAAAGTGCTTATATACTGCAGCAAAAGGGTTTTAACTAAAAAAGCAACAGCAAGCACCGCCACACCGTTACCATGGCCTAAAACCCTAGAGGGAACTATACTTGTTGGGTGACATCACTTAACACACTTAAGTCAAGGAGTTTTGTTACTGAGTTTCATTAAGTAATGTGGAACGACCCTGGCTTAACAGTGTCACAAAGATGCAAAGCTGTGTGACGCTGTCTCAACTTTGGGGATGTGCATCCCAAACACATTAAACATAATGGTTCCAAAATGCCAGTACTGCACTTAGAGAGCACTGTCACCTAAAACAAGACATACCACACATGGAGAAGTCAAGATTGGGGGCAGGAAGGGGTTAAAGCACTCTAAAGCGACTAACTGCTCTAAGATTCCCAAGCATTTCCACTGAAAACAATGAGAACAGGATCGAGGGCAAAAAATCGATGTCACCTGGACCTCTAGACTGCCTGTCAAACAGGAGCCACACCAGGCCAGGCTCTGCACTAAGCAGCCAGAAAGCCTGCGAGTGTTCCTCAAAGTGTGATTGCGGGCAACCAAGCCAGCAGATGATTCCCCCCCCAGCCCAACGTTCCAGGAGAGC